AATAACATAAAACAAAGGCAATAATAATTTATAACAAATGTTCGAAATGTTGACCGTCCATTTCCAGGCACTTTTCTGTAAATTCTTTTTTCAAAACCACTGATAACTCTGGACAACATTTGCGGAGTTACAGTTTTAAAAGCGTCTCTTATGCGTGTTTTCATATCGTGTGAAGTTGTCGGAAACGTATGGTAGACAATTCCTTTTATGTACCCCCATAAAAAGAAATCTAGTGGAGTTAAGTCCGGAGATCTGGAGAAATTAGTATTAATTAAAAACCTTAAGATTTAGGTATTATAAACCTTATTGAAACAGACACTTATTTTGTTCAGCGAATCCAAAAATGCAATAATATACAGGACATTCCATTGAAAAAAAACGCAACTTTGATACCTTTAGAGCTTTTGACATGTACATTACAAAAATATTTTTAAAATGTGCGTTCGGTAGGCGTCGGACAATTCATAAAATAATACTTTTTAAAAATCAAACGGTTTAGCGGCAAACTGCCGTGTCGTATAGCGTGAATAACCCTGTATATAATGTTAAATATTAAAGTGTCGTTTCGCATGTTTGTCACTGCACGAAGCTTGTAGGAACAAACACACACTGTTCTAATGGAGAAAGTAAAAAAAACGTTGCAAACAACTAAAGCTAAAGCTTTAGTAAAAATTCACTTCTGGATGCATCAGACGAAATAAACTGCAAAAAATGTTTACTTTTCGTTGGAATTAGCTGAGCATTTTTTCCTGTTTAGCATCCCGTTTCTTTGGACGCGCTTTAAGTGACCGTTGATGTTCCGACTCTATTCGGAATGTACTCTTCTATTTCTCATTTTCCAAGGCTTTTGGGTGCAGATTGAAAAATTCGCTTTGTGAATAAGACAAATGACATTCCGTCGGCATTGTTGTACGTGGATCTCGCCTTTCCTAAATTTATGGAATTAATATCCGGCTACGTGCGACGAGAACCAAAACGGGGGGCTCGATGGGGGACCCAATTAGTTCCAGGTATTAATCATTATATGCGAGACAATGGGACGTTTCGAGGGGGCTCTCGGCCCGGGTCATCTGTTTACAGCCGATAAAGTTTGATTTATTATTAGCGACCGGTTTAATCGCGAAAATTACTGCGTTTGTTGGAAAGTGCCATTTTTTTCGAGGGGGGAAAACAAACGCCCATCCGCTGTCCAGGGCGTGCAACCGGTTTAATGGAAAATAATAGTGCAAAAGTAGAAGCAATGATGGACATAAGTTCGATATTTTTGAGGCGGATTCACTTTTTACAAACTTCTTTTTGGGTATTTCGCCTCAAAAAT